CTCTGGAGGCCCATTTCAGTTACTGGAAGGCTGCCATGAGGTCTCCACACACCCTTGCCTTCTCTAAAGACTGCTATGTCAGAGAGCAGAGTCACCTATGAGTCCTACTACTTGATAACAAACCCAATACAGCTGAGGGTAACAAACCATAGTGGCTATTAATGCAGCAAGGGCCAGTGGGCTGTTATTTCTTTTTGTGTTTGGTGATGACTTCAGGCTCTGAGGTTCCTGAGCACCTCACCGAAAAAGAGCATAACATAACATAATATCAGATGATCTATTTAGAGGTTATTCCACTGAAATGTTGTGGGTGTTGTGACGATTCCATTGGCTGACTAGTTACCCTTGGCAAACCTCCTACATTTGACTTCCTGGACAAATCCTAGTATGTGCCAATCTTATTAAGGGTGGGATCTGGCGGAACAATCAGGGATGGTTGAAATCTTCATCTGATATCAATAAGACTTTAATTGCTAATTGAATATGTAACACATACATATCAAAAGTGGCTTTTGAAAAAGTGTATGTTGCAAGTCAAATTTTCCACTGACTTCAGAAATCTCTCCAGAGTAAATAAGAGAAATGGTTTTGTTGTTATAAGGCCAGTGGACAGATCTTCTGAAGGTGCTGGGAAGCAGGATGATAAAGTACTGAGGATGTTCTGTTCTTTCAGTCACCAAATCCTTACTGACCCATTCAGCATGAGTTTTGGGTTAGTCCAGTATAGTGTTCTTCACAACAGCCAAAAGCAGATGACTACAGGTGAACATGAAAATATTTGCTTGTTGAATATTCCCCTCATTTCCAGGAACTCGTAACTCAAGGACTTCCCAAGCTCTAAGCAGTGTCTTTAAAAATGCTTGATAGATTTCTCTTCTGTGAGTCTAACCAGTGTCTCCTTGACCCCATATAAATTTTCAGCATCCATAATGTCCTGGTATGAATAAAACTCAGTCCCTAAACATCTATGACTACTCAATTTTTTAAGGAGCTTCACTGACTTCTTAACTCCCACAGCAGCATTTGACTATTAATTTTATTTACCATCATCACACTTCACTGCTAGTATTTTTACTCAAAGCAGCATACCCTACAGATGGTTCTCTAGTAACACGGGCACATGATTTCCCTTCACTTGAATTCTTCATTAAGTTCAATGCATGACATAAATACCAGTAGTATGCAAAAGGCTATAAAGAAAGATCAGTGATATGGTGAGAGCTGAAAAAAAATAATCAGAAGGGTTTAAGGATGAATCGGAGGAGAGATGGGTGCAACACAGAAGGCAACTGAGTGACTTTATTCAGTCCTGTTGTTGATGTTGAGATGAAAAGTAAGAATATAGATAAAACCTCACAGTAAAACCCTTCTCTCTTTTTATCTTGGAGGTTTAAACTGTTGCAAATGTGAGATCACATTGATCAGTAAGTGGTTGATACACACACGCAAAGATCCAAGAATCTTTGGTGACATTAGTGACAGTCACATTTATAAGTGAAAAGTAAGTGCTTTCTTGTACTCTGTAGTAACTCAAATGACCACGGGCATTGGTCATTTACAGCCTCCTTTTACTAGCTAATGCCTTAGTGCCCCATGAGCATGCTGGATTTCCATGACCTTAAATCACAGGCTGAGTTGTGTATTCTGCTGTAGCAAGCTCAGCTTCTTTGCAGAAGCTAACATCTGGGCAAAGATTAGCAGAAATATCAGTTTCAATTAATATATATTTTTTAGACCCAACCCAAATTGTCACTGACAGAACTAGGCCTTAAATGATACGTGGGAATTAGCTTTCCTAAAAATACAGCAACAGAACAGACCTGAGCAGGTGGCCCACATGTCATCTGTGAAATACCCAGCTTGGGGAAATCAGTATTTTAACTGTGACCCAAATAAAGTATATAGAGTTATTTGTTAATTAGTGCTGTACCACATAAGAAGCAGAAGGTTATTCAAAACAAGAATCAGCTTCTAATGCAATAGAGATACCTATTATGAGTTCTAATCACTAAAGAAAACATCTTTTGTAAGGGTTTAAATATAACTCTTGCTTTTCCAATCGTACTACTGATTTTGAAAGGTGATGCTTGTCAGCCAAGAACTTCATTAGAGTCCGTAACTGAATTTCAAGAGTTGTCAAGAGCACACTATAAAATAGCTGCTACTAGAAATGATGTATTTAAAAAAAAAGGAAGTTCTGGTCTGGCAGGATGCAAAGTATGTTGTGTGTTTTCCCTGTGTCATTTCAAATAATATGTTCAATTTTTCTGGGCTACATTTGTCTGACATTGTTCTCTTGTATAATAATGATTCATTATATATAATTTATTCAAGGACTGTAACTCACCTCTAGGTGCCTGTAAATGTTACTGCAGCTAGACATTTGAATTGAAAAACAAACGCATTACAGCGGCTTTTATGAAGGACCCTTTTATTTTAGTGGCTTGACAGGAAAGATGGATTATTTTTCTGAAGTAAAGCATTGACCTTAAAATCATCTTAAAAATCTAGCACAGGAATCAATTAACAGCACTTCCTGTTCTGTGGTGTTTAGGTAATTTGGCAATTTTAGGGAGGGCTGGGGGACAAAGTATTCCTTGGCCGTTCAAAATGGGTACAGCTATATTGTTGTTACATCAGTATTACTGGGAATGTTCCCATGGTTATGATGGTAACATATTACATCTACGCCCCCCCCTAAAGCGTAAGCCATTTTCATGTGGAGCTCTTAAAGGTGGTGGAGGGCAGACAGATGACATTGCTATGAGGAACGGTAAAAGGCTGCACATTGTGCCACTGCACCAAGAGGTGTTAGTGAAAGGGTGTGGGATGCTGGCATCTCTTATCGCCCCTTGTAAATTGGAATGTGGGTATAGAACCAACCCTCAACCCTCTATTAAATACATAGCGGTTGTTACTAGACCAGGTAGTGCAACAGGAAGGCTGTCCTGAATTAATTTATCCTCCCTGCTATTCTCTGCATGCTCTCTGGCAAGTAATTTATTTTCTCTTCAGTGCTTTTGTTTCCTTTTTGCAGGACGGGATAAACAAGCTTCCTAATTGCAGCAGGACACTGTGAAAACAGACAGGATCAGGTACTGCCTTCGCCCATATAGTTTTACCTTTAGCTGCTCTTGAAGGAAATATGAGAGCAGCTACCTTCTTGGTTTCATTCTTATTTACACAGGGCTTTAGTGGAGCATGCACTTTAACACCACTTAAGACTCCTCATGTTTTGGATGGAATCCATCCTTTATCTCTGATTTGCTGCTACTGTACAACCTAGAGAATAATAATAACAGTAACACCTGCAGGTTAGCAAAAAGTTTTATTATACTGAAACATATCATGCACAGATGAGAGCCAATGGTTATGTTTTATCTGTCCCATCAAACTGAAATACCTTTATCATATTTTCCATTGGCTTAAAAAGGAAATACTAATAGAGATAATTTCATTATTTAAAAAAATATACAGTGCTTTCTATTTATTTTGTTCTATATTAGAAAGGCAAATTTGGAGATAGTGATAGGGCTTAAATATATTACTATTTTTCCTCTGGGCAGCTTGCCTTCACATCTGGATAGAATGCATACAGAATGGGTTCAGAATCTCTTCCTCCATGATAGCAGGTATCAAGTCCCATTAGATGTAAATTCAGCATGTTGAACCAGAATGCCTGAGCTGGGGATAAAAAACGAGTAGTCTGGGATGCCTGTTCTACTATGCTTTTCTTTTCCTGCATATTAAAATTTCTCCAGTATATTTTCTTCCTATCTTTTTACTTTGGATTCCTGGTCTGTCCTCCCTTGTTTTAACCACTGCTATAGTAAAGAACAGAGCTCTGTTTTATGAAAAAAACTCACTTTAGCTTAGTGGAACTAATCATCATAGCTTCTTCTTTAATTGCTGGGTGAAGGGAAGAGGAAAG